CGGGTCCCGTTCTTCCTTTAGTACGGGCGGGCCTTTCTCGTGCTGCAGCAGCCAGGCTCAAGGTGGTTCTTCCGTCCTTCTTGCTCATCTCGTTCCCTACATAGCCCCCCGCCCCCCGAATTTGCTTACTTTATGATCGGGGTGTAGATGGTAGAGGCTGTTTTGGGCAGGGGAGGGGCTGATGTTTGTTTCTCAGAAACGTGCCTTTTTGGGACGTTTGGTTGTTCTACATGTAGCAGTGCTATTTTCACATCTGCATTTTCATAGCTGCTAGTTCTTCTCTGACCCCAGGGATGTCCTGCACACAGGGAGCTTATGTCAGGGATTTAGAAGGCCATGAATGATGGCTCAAAGTGTGTGCGCTTGTTCTTTGGTTTGGCATTGCTGTAGTCAGGAATACTATGCAGTAATACTATTTTGTTGACATTTAATTATTTTTCCTTTTTGTTCTAGCTGATCCCTCTGTTTTTGATCATTGGATCTGGAGGCATTGGTGCAGGCCTATATCTCATGCGTTTGGCAGTGGCCAACCCTGATGTCTGGTATGAATAAAATAATTTACAGTACCTGGTCCTCTTGCTGCATACATTAAACTTCAGTGCCCTGGTTTTTGTGTTTCTGGAGGCCTTAATGCCCTGCTCCGATGTTACACTGGCACTTAAGTGTGTAGAGATTTGTTTGCTTACCATATGATAGAGACTGTTGACAAAGGACTGTGCCTATTTCCGTGGAAACTTATTTGGATGGGTGACTCTATAGCGTGATAACCACAGTATGCATATTAATTTTATTTAATTTGAATGTAGTGTGATTCTCTTAATATGCTTTCATATCTTGCATTTCTCTCAATAGCTGGGACAAGAAAAATAATCCAGAACCTTGGAACAAACTGGGTCCCAGTGACCAATACAAGGTAAAATGAAAAATACAGATTTTTAGGAAACATAGTATGAAAAGTGTAGCCTACTGCTTTAGGATGTGTGCGGGTATTGGAAAGTAGCTGAATGAGTGATATATTTCCTCTGCTGTGCAACATTTGTTTGTTTCTAGAACTCAGAGTCAAGAGAGCTGAGTTTGAGATTTAAAACTTTCTTAGAGCTGGTTGATAATGGGTGAAAGGAATCTATATGGAAGCAGTCCAACAGTATATTACACTGTAAGAAAAAGAGGGAGAATATACTAGCTCATAATACTCAGAAATAAACTATGGGGAGAAGGACAAAACCATGTAAGTTCTGAAATAAAGCTTTCTAAACTCTAAACTGTTACCCTTCACTCGTGAGAAACAGAGCAGGAAAATGTCAGTGTTTAACATAAATACTGATTCAGTTCTACAGTTGGTAGTTTGAAAACAAAACAATTGCTTGTATGTAACTGGATGCGATAGAAATAAATGTTCTTTAAGTAGTATTCAAGTTATTCCATTGAACTAATGAGGGAGCATACAAAGATGTGTAAAACATTTAATAGTTTACGGAAATCATGTTTTTATCATGTTTCACTAGAGTAGTATTTTAGTAGACGCTTGTTAAGAATGTTTTAAGATTATCCTCAGCTATTAAAAAAGCAAACCTACTATATTTTCAAAGCTAGTGTTTGTTCAGTACTATATCTTACTATTACAGTCATTGAAATAAGCGAAAAAACTCCACATTCCAAAATAAAATATGTTGTGTTTCCCTTAAAGGTCCAGAAAGAATGTAATACTTTGTTTTCATTGCTGCTTCTGGAATGTTGCTTTTTCTTAAGTATCTGAAAGAGGCAAATTTAACGTAGTGCGCAGCACAAAGTCTTTTAAAGAGTGCATGCCTTGTGTAGCATTCCCCTTCTGTCTTAGCATGCAAACACAACCTCAGGGTTTACCATATTTGGGTGTGTGTATCATTGGGGATTTTCTTTCCAAATCTGCACTGTGGGAAATGGAAACGCAGATACTCTAAATTGAGGATGACTGTTTAGTAAAAAGCTCTGATACAACAAGTTTTAGCTTTTGATGAAATAGTTTTTATTTTGTCATGTCTCTTTGTCATAGCAGCTTCCTCAGTTGGAAGAGTTGATCATTACTGTAGGAGTTGCACAGAAAGCTATGTAATTTGAATGTGCTGTAGGCTGTTTTGTTTTCTCTGAGGAAGTTAAAAAAAAAATTGAATATGGGCATAACTAAAAAAAATCAATCTAATAGAGAAATCTTTCTTCTTTTTTTTTTTTTTTTTTTTTTTTAAATCAAAACTCTAGCATCACATGTTTGATGTCACGTTGGGCTAGGATGCCCAAATATGCTGTAAATTCATTGTCCTCAGTGACTATTTGGACTTTTATGAATTGCTTGTAATGGGTTCCAAATTTATTAATATAAACTGAGAGTGTGAAAAGATCTGTTCTTTGCAGAGTTTCTAATACTGTATGCAGAATGAATATAATATTTAAAAGTCACTGCTCTTCAAAGTTTTTATTTATCTATTTATTATCGTCTGATGTACAGACTCAAAACTATGATTTCGGTTTCCTGACGTGAGTTCAAATGATGCATGTTTTTTAGTAAACACCATGGCAACTGAATAGTCAAGCTTCTTACTCACCTTTTCCCCTTTCTTTCCTAGTTCTACTCTGTTAATGTAGACTACAGTAGACTGAAAAAGGACCGTCCTGACTTCTGAACAACACACTCATCTCCATAATGCGCACAGAAAGGTCTTCCGGAAGCCATCCGCACAATTGTCATGCTTAATCATCCAGGAAATAATCAAACTTGCCTCATGCTGCACTTGGTCATGTGTTTGAAAGTGTTTTGATGAGGCTTAATAAATGCCTGAAACTTTTAAGTGTCTGCTCTTTAATTTTGCAAAATGAGAATATCGTCCTTTTAACAGTTTGTTGTATGTATCAATCAAATAGTAAGCAAAAGCCAATTCATGTTTCCTCAACAAGAAAGCACAGTTGCCTTGATGGGCTTTATACTCAGTCTGGCAACTTTAGAGAAATAACTGCATGCTCATGTAGTATACAAAACTGCAAGAACTTGAAAGCACATATTTATATGTGTGTATGTATATTTTTTTTAATTGCACCTGAATTTTTCTACTTAGCATTTTAAGAAGTTTTGGTAGCAGACAAGTCAATGCTAACGAGTCATTGTCTATCAGGGAGGCAACAGATGTTGCCATATGTTGCTGGAGGGAAGGAAAAAAAAAAGCCAAGCTCTCTGTAAAAGGTTTCGTTTCTTTCTGTGTGGGGTTTTTTTTGGTGGTTTTTTTAATAGTCATAAGCAGTTTGTTCATAAACAAGAAGACAATCTTAAATATTTAAAAAATTAAACTCTGGGAAATTCAAGATTTCCTGTGGCTCATGCTTTTAAGGAAGTGAAGCACACAGTAAGCAGAAGAGGGTGCAGGATTAAGAAATAATTAGATTTTTATGTAAGAACAAAAGTATCTTTCAACAAGGGCAGATTCTCATACTTCAGTACTTGACCGAGTGTACGTATGGGAAAACAAAAAGAAAATATCTTTCCAAGTCTGTAACTTACGGTAGGTTCTTCTTTGTGCTTTTCTGTGAACATCTGGTATTTCCCTGGATAAGGGATTTAATTGTGAAGAGTACAGCTGTTCCTATCTTGATATATTTCAGTCCACTTAAAGTAGACTCTGAGAATGTAGATAACCATAGCTGCTGTTATTTATAAATAAGGATAGATTCAAAGAGACTGAGCAGCCAGAACTTTCCCTGGAGAAGAAAAACTATTCTGCAGTATTTGACTGCAAAATAACAAATATTTGCAAAGACTTCATATTTTATATGGAAAAATCTTACAGATCAATTGGATATGGTTTATTTGGTGGTAGTTCAGATTATCTTCCTTTTCATTATCTACCAAAATTTTGGCTTGCAGTTTTCACTCGCTTTTTTGAGAAGCTCTCACAGAGTCTGAGGAACAAAATGAGTTTTATGACAGAGATGATGTTTACAGTGGTGGGCAAAGTCTGTAAATGTCCTTGGGGACTGTGGTTGCTATCTTAATCCAAATATTTTTAGGGAGTAGAACATTCTGTTGCAACACTCTTTGTATGTCACATGTGAAAATGGGAAGAGTTCCTGTAACTTACTAGTTGATAGTCCGTTTGGATTTTACTGGTATTACCAGGGTCTCTGAATGCAGGTCGTTTCTCTGGATATTCATTAAAAACAATACTCAGGAAGTAAATCTGATTCTTGGTAAGACGAGACAAGGGTGTTCCCCTTGGTCACAGCTGAAGAGGGTGTAGACTCATGTTTTTCTTAATAAAGGCATTTCAAATAATAGACTGCCCTTGACATACTTAAAAATATATTTAACAAGTAAGTACTTAAGCTATTTAAAGCTTTAACTGTGGATTAACTGGAAAACGAAAAGGCAATTCATTCAATGCTATTTCCTCTTTCCTCATGGCAGCATACTTGCTGCTGAAAATACACAATTCTAAGTCTTTCAAGTTGAAACCATCATATTTCATCCCAAGGGCCATTATCCTGAGGAGATACTTGCTCCTTTTTGAGGTATGCTTCAGTCCTATTTTAAATGCTAACAGACACCAGTCACCGTTCCCTGCCAAACCAAGAAACGTCATAAGAATTTTTTTCCTTCCTGTCTTTAATGCTTGAAATAATAAGTAATTGAAAAAGATTACATAATTTCAGAAAAGAAACTGAGCCAGATGAAGAATGCTGTGTATTTTCTGTGGCTCACCTCCTCAACTAATAGCATTATTTTCATACAAACATACTGTGCTGTTTTGTGGCTCCATGAACTAATTTCTCACTACAGATGTGTTTCTTATTGTTGAACCCTCACGCCTATAGAGACATAAGGTCACACTACCTACTGTAAGACTGGCTGAAATTATTCTGTGGGCAGAAATGAAGCACTTGCTTAAATCTTCAGCTTTGGCTGACAGAAGCATTGAAGTTTACCAACTTTATTGGTAGTATGACAATGTGTGTTCTTCAAATCCCTGTTCCACAATTTTTGATATTTTATAATTAACTAGTTTCTAACTGCTTGGTAGGGTCTATCAGTATCCAGTACGTTTCTTTGTGTTTTTTCTAGTTGTACTGTTACAGAACAAGAATTGTTTTCACAGCTTAGCTATAGTCTATCTTAAAATTTTCAACTGTTTTCTTTTAAAGTTTCTACCTTTAAAACTTCTTCTTTAAAGCAGTCCTCTACCTTTTTCTTCTTGATGAAGGCAAAGATGGTATTCCCTGAAGGCAGCATAAAGAACCAATTGCAATTTGGATTTTTAAGATTCTAGCTTCTAATGTTCATCTTTGGCCTCTAACTTTTCTGAAACAACCAAATCTCGCCATTAATTGGAAAACTGAGGTCCTTCATTAACACCATGCCATGTAATCTTGCTTCAGCAGATGGTCATGTGTTACCTGAAACAGACTGATGTTCTGCTGTCTAAAAAGTTTTGGCTAAGATGGAAACAGCTGCTTTGTTCTGGTTTGTGGCAGGTATTTTTGGAACGATCAGTGTTAGCCTGGCCTGTGTGCTTGTTAATGAGCCAGAGACGGGTTTGACTGTTATTCTTACAATACAGCGTTGTGCCTGCCACTGTCAGATTTTTCTTAATGCAGTTACTGTGTGCCTCCATATCAGTGATCCTGATATGCAGCAGGGTGATCAAATCTGAAATTAATTCTGCCCACCTGGGACAGAAAGAATTACAGGTTTCCATAGTTTTTGCATATGAACAGCTACTTTATGCAGCATGTTGTCATGTGTTTCCTTTGGTTGTATTTTTAGTCTAGCCAGTAAGTAGAATTTATGTTATCTGCCTGCAGTAAGGAAAGTTCCTCATGAGTATAAATATCTAACTGCTTCTAAGAAATTAGAAGAGTGTGCCTGATATTAAAAGGATAATTTAAATTTTGCATAGGATTTCTAGCCAAATGTCATCTGAGGAAATACATTTGAGATCTATTTTCAATCTCTGCTTTACCTTTAAAGCAAGTTTGGTGTCTGACTACTGAATGACCTTTAAAACTAAGAAAATGTATGTTTAATGTTGATTGGACTGTAACACTTATGACAGGAATTTAAAAAATATATTTAGAACAGCAAATGAGTTACTGAAAAAATAAGATATGTGCAAGTGCACACGAAGTTACTGTTTCTACTCATTGGCCAGCCTTACTATGAAAACAACTGTATTTAAGAGCTAGAAAACCCTTTATCCAGGACAAAGTGATGCACAGCAGATCTATGAGAACTCAAAAAATCAGATGTTCACTTGTGTCATTGCCACAGTAGGGTTATTTTATATTACTTCAGGGAAAAGCTTATTCTTCAGTCTTTTCTTCTGAAATCCAGAAGTTTAACTTCATGTTTTCATGATCCATCCACTTTTCCTTAGAAGTGGTTTTGGTATCAGTATTTAGTAATGAGAAGCTCCTATGAAGCTCAAATCGTTTCATCTCCTCGTCTGATCTCTAAGCTTCTTAGGAATGTCTCTGGATACCACTGTGATAGTGTGTTTGCCAAATGTGTGTTAATTCTGGTGCCATCCGGCTTGGATGAACTTTGGGGAGATTTTAATAATTTCAAAATGGTAAGGCTTAATACTTTCGTAGTAAGAACAAAATGAGCCAGTACAGTGGAAGAAAGTAGACACCACTGCCATTCTTGAAAAGCAAATCTTTGTCTAGCATCCAGAGTGACATTTATTTAAACCAGAAGTATTCTCCATTTTTTCTCCTTTTTTAAAGTTTAATGTAAATGAAATTAAAAAGTAATTTTTAGACTTTCTAAGCTAATGTTATTCTTACAGTTACTAGCTGAAAAGTCTATGAGATTGCCACACTTTAACTTGCTCAATTTTTTTTTCTATTTTCTTTTCCGTCAGAATCAATATCACTGTAGATAATGCAAAATGAGAAGTATGCAAGTCTAGGTAAGAACAATGCATTCAAACTTTTGATAGTTTGCTATCAGCATTTACCTGACATTCATTGCTACTAGAAATGATACAAGACTGGCACATGAAACTCCACCAAGAGAAAGCAAGTTCTGTAGATGATCAGAAAATAGTTTATTAACACATGGCAATGCATACATTACAAAGGAGAATATAAATTCTGCTGCTAATATTCTTGACTATTAGAAATGCTTTATAACTTAGACACTTCAAATAATATTTCTAGGTTCATTAATTTGAACTATTTTGAACAAAATAAGGCACTATGCCTTTTACAGTTCATCACTATAATGTAAAGACAACCTTTTCAGTAGAACTGCACAAGGCATAACCCAATAGACAAATTTGGTTTTTTTCACATTGGAAGCAAACTATGAACATGAAATGTTTTCTAATTTTAGTTTCCTTACTGCAGGCAAATGAAACAAACTGCTGAGAAGGTAATGAAAACAGATTACTTAATGGTGAAAAATCTGAATGCCATTCTTTCTCTACCAGTGGTGCCACTGCTGGAATTTAATGGGGTGGCACCAGTGTGTCTGAATGAAGATTTTGTTCCTAGCTGTTTAAAAATAGGGTTTTTAGGAATCTAATTAGATTTCCTCAGTACTGATAACATTTTTTTCTTTTATTTTTTTGCTAGATTGAGAGGGGGAAAGTAGCAGAACTCATTATCAACAGGAAGAAAACAGAATTTCATCCCAATTTCAAACTTCCTACTCTAGTACCACTTACATCTCATAATAGTCTATGGGATTTTGATAGAGTGTTAAGGGGATAATTTGCTTCAGATGTTGTTCTTATCTTCATGATGTGTCAAACAGATTTAACTTCCTAGCATTTTAGAAGCTTAGGGGAGGAAAATTAATCCCTACAATAGAGACAATGTGCTTAAAATTAAAA